TATATATATATATACCTACCCTTTTTATACTCTTATTAAAATTACAATTGAAAGATAGAAACTAATACAAACTAAAATATATATATAAAGAAAATGCAGAAAAGAAAAAATAGGAAAGAATATAGTATAAAAAGAAAAAAAAGAAATGACTTCCCTTTTATTATTTTTTAAAGTAATTTATCAACCAATTTAAAAGTTAATATATAGATCTCCTGATTATGATACTGTTGACATTCACATGCTAATGAGAAACACTATCTCATTTCCGGTTATTTGAATTTAAAACACTGGTAAATACAAAGTTTACATTTCATTATACATGTGGTCAAGTTTGATGTTTAAAAGGTTTAATATAGTATATCTGGACAATAAGTTTCAATCAACTGCAAAAAAATGTGAAAATTTTAATACTATTTGGTATAAATTATAGTCTTCTCATATTCAAAAGGCATATGAAAGCCATATTTAGATGCATGAAAGTATACTTGTGGTATATAAGATTTAGAAAACAACTGACTTTGTTTGTGTTAACAGGATGAGAAAGTGCAAGGCTTCCTGTTATGTGAGTGTGACAGCTGTAGATAAGTGGGGAGGCCCTCACAGGAAATCCGTCTTACATCTGCAGCATGACTTGTCTAAGGCTGAGAGACTATCTCTAATTGAAGTATCAATGGCATGACATGGTGCTAAGTGATCAAACATGGGGGACATGGTGAAGAAGGACTTGGAGGATCAAACTGTATTGCCGTTGGAAAATGAATGTACCAGAAACATGGGAGAATTTGTGGACGTTTCTCTGAATGAAAGGGTTAAATTTAATGACACAGGCTTATCCATGGTCCTACAGAATGGCTTGGAGAATCTCCGTCTAGAAAACTCTCTCACAGACGTTACCCTGCGTGTTGGCAGCATGCATTTTTCGTGCCACCGTGTGGTACTTGCAGCAGCAAGCAATTATTTTAGGTAAGGTAGATATTTAAAATAAGACCTCTTTACTGGATTTTACAAATCTCTATCAATTTAGCAAATAGGATGATAAAACTAAGTTTTCCCATCCTTGATTTAAATCTACCTGTATTCTGTATGTTTCCCAAAATTTTGTATTTGGGATGGTGCTAGAACACATTTATAGCAAATGTTCTATTGTATTTTTGCAACCCAGATGTATGTGTGTTTGTGCCTTTGAATCAAACTGCTGGTGACTGCCTGGACTAGTCTCTAGACTAGTCTCTTTAGTTTAAATCTTTGGCCAGATATTTCAGAAGTGGTTTCCCATTGCCTCTTTCCTAGGGTTGAAAGAAAGTGATTGACACAAGTTATCCTGCTGACTTTGTGCCTAAAATGGGACTAGAACACATAGTCTCCTGATTCCTACTCTGATCTCTTTAACCACAACATCAAACTAGCTCAGTATTAGATCTAACAAACAGAGGGTAAAGCCCTACGCGAGATTCAAATAGGAAAAGGAAATTAAAATCTTACAAGCTTTTCCAATATATAGAGTCATTATTATCCCTTTCCTAGTGATGAAATTATCTGTGGAGTTTTTATTTGTTTGTGTTAGGTATAGTTACTCATTTTTATCATTTTAAAGCAGCAGTTACCAACTGGTGGTCCGTGAGATAATTTTGATGGTCCGCAGAAAAATTATTTCCATTTTTTATATTGCACTAAATACTATTATCTTTTTTTAAAATCGTATTAGTGGTCTGTGGGATTTAAAATTATGAATTTAGTGGTCCCTGAGTTCCAAAAGTTTGATGACCTATGTTTTAAAGCCTACCCTAATAAATATGCAGGCTGCAAATCCCTAGTCTATAATCACTGAGAGGAATGAATTGGCTGACTTTGTATTAGATGCTAACAATAATTATTCTCTGTTAATAAGTAAAGAGTTTCTAAGTATATATTCAATGAAATTCCGCTCAGAAAATTTGCTGGATTTCCCCCCCTTATTTTATTTTTTAATCTAGAGAAAATAGCTCTGGTGTTATATAGAGTCATGAAAATTTAAAGTGCTCTTGGAAATCATCTATGTATTCCAATTCCTTGTACTGTTTAGGGAAAAACTTCATTTGTGAATAAAAGATGTAATATTTTTGACATAACAAACATGAGAAAAACTGAAAAGTCTTGTATCATGTTCAATAAAATGCCAATAAAATGCAGAGTTAGACCGTAAAAAGATTTAAAAGCTGTAAAATACAATCTGGGGAAGACTTATCCAAGGACTGCCTGTAAATATTTTCACTTTTCTTTTTTAAATTGAATTTCTCTGCTACAAAAGATAGATCACAAGTCAGCTTGGAAAGTAGGTATCTCTTCCTCCCAGACATTTTATAATTTCTCAAAATAACTTTTAAATCTTTGGACATGAACAAAAACAGGAACTCAATGTACTCAGTCATTTCTGCTTGAAAATTTCTTGACTTCCATATAGAAATACTTTGGGGGGGGGGGAATCTTATCCAAATTTCACATTAAAGAATCTAGCATTCTTAGTTGACCTACCTGGATCCTTGAACATAAAGCTCTTGCTCCTTTTCATTGGAATAATATTTATTGGAATAATATTTATAATAAGAAACCTATGTTAAACTTGGTGTTAAAGTATAGCGTTGGGGTGTATTGCCATAAAACATTATTGTTAATATTATTATATATTTATGGCATAGTGGCCCAAAAAGCAAGTTAAGAATGTAATCTAAAATTTGGGCATTAGATAAAACTGTTTAACAAATAAAATAGTTGATATTACATGAAACAGTTATAATTCCACTGAAGTGTGGTTTAAAACCTTGTTTTTGTATACTTGATTAAAAAGTAGATAATTGCCTCTGTAATTTTAGGATTTTTATTTGCAGGTAACATTTTATCATACTAGTATTCCTGGGCTTAATTTTATAAATAGGTCAGATATCCTGGAAAAGATTCTCATGAAATTCACAGTACAATAAAATATGTTTCACTGTTTCAAAACCAATCCATTACAGAGGCAAAATGGTTGAGAGTGGGGATTTTTTGAAATCTAACATGTAGCATATTCGATAGCAACACATATAATCTGGCTTTTGAAAAGACAATTCTGTATTTACTTAAATATAAATTAAGATATATAAGGAGCTGAATCTATATGTAATTAATTCCAAAAGTTACAGGTGAACATGGAAGTTTGTTTAGTCATTAATTTATGTATTTAATTATTCCATAATTTTTTGTTTAATATAATTATATGCTGATGGACCCTTGGAAAATAAATCATCAGGATCAGTGCCAATCTGACTCATCTTGTGTTCACCTGTTTAAACCACTATCTAATCATTTGGGATTTCATGAAGCAATACTTCCTTGTTTTTAAAAATATGTTTGTAATAAAACTTAATGCTGTAGGCTTAGCACAGGCTTTGTTCAATTGACACTACCCAGTTTCCAGAGAACAACAGAATCTCTAGAATTCTACTAGGAACAATTAAAGGAGATCTTAAAAGTTTTACTTCCGGTTGGGCTATGTTATTATTGGTAAATGTAATTTAAACCACATAAAATTTGAGATATAATATTTTGCATTTCAGGAACAAATGTCCCACTTTTTGAATAAAACATTTAAGTAAGGCCATCAGAGTAGATTTTGCTTTCAGAATTTTTTTTCTTCCTAATGTTTCCTGCAGGTTCAGTTCCTCTTTTTTCAGATCTATTAGTTGCAACAGGTGAGCCTAAACTTGTGAGCTGAAAGAGAGTGACTGGCCCAATGTCGCCTAGTCAGCTTTCATTAGTACAATGGGACTAGAACTCACAGTCTCCTGGCTTTTAGCCTGGTGCCTTAACCACAAAACCAACCTGCCTCTGTATTTTGTTTTGCTATTTTGAAATAATGTCTTTCAATGATGTTGCTAGGATAGAGCATGATTAAATAAAATGTCCAAATGATTAAAATTCTCTATTATCATCTCATGATCTTGAATTTTCCATCTGTAGGTTTTTTTAAAAAATTAAACCCAAAGCGTTAATTTTATCATGGTTAATTTAAATTGATTTTTCTGGCAAAATTTAATGAATGCCTCAAGTAGGCATTTCAGACCCAACGTGGTATGTGAAAGAACAGAATTATCTATTTATATAACAAAGCACAATCTTTCTTTTGACTAATAATGGGCATTGACCACCAACCCAAAGTAACATAGTTTCCAGATTATTGACAGAGATACAGTATTAAAAAAGAAACCTGTCTCATACACTTGTTCCTATTCTTTTAAGAAGAAATTGGATGACCATTTGCCTGAAATGGCATAGGGTTTTCTAATGGAGCAGAGATTTTGACTAGAAGATCTTCAAGATACCCTCCACCTCTCTTATTCTGTTATTCTGTTATTAATATATTGTTTATAATATAATTATTTTGTCAAACCAAAATGAAAAACCTCCTTACTCTGCTGTTGTAATGCTGTCTCCTTTGGGAAAGTCATTATGAAAATCAAAATAAAATTACCTAGATTGATATAATTATTACTTTTTTGTTCAATCAAAATAAAATCACCTAGATTGATATAACTATTAATTTTTTGTTTAATCAAAATAAAAGCACAATCTCTTTGCTCTAAGATATTAGAGAACCATTGCTTTGGTGAATTATTGGAATATTTGTTTGGACACACTGAAATTAAAATTCAATGTGTTCCACTGTAATATTGATGTCCTGCTCCAGTATAATAAGTGAAACAATTTAAGCAGCATTGCACACTTATTTCCAGAACTTTTTGCAGACCAACTGGATTTTTCAGATTTACTGAACTGTCTATTTTTATCCTTTAGGGCAATGTTTTGCAATGACTTAAAAGAAAAGTATGAAGAAAAAATAGTTATTAAGGGAGTTGATGCAGAAATAATGCAGATTCTTTTGGATTATACATATACCAGTAAAGTGCTGATTACCAAGGAAAATGTGCAGAAAGTTCTTGAAGCTGCCAGCCTTTTTCAGGTTAGTGAATGTGTGCAGTTAATGGAAAATATATATAGGGACAAAGCACATATTAAGATTAAGCTATGAGTTAATTTTATTTAACTGTTGCATTTAATCTATAACCTTTATAAGTATAGCCAACTAATGGCTGTTTACTATATGTTCTTTAAAATATTGCTACATGGGTAGTTGTTTATTGAATAAAACAGGGATTAACAATGTGTGAACCGGTTGTTGAATGAAACTGTGACTATGCTTATCAAAGGTATCATGGCTGCAGATAAGAACCAGGAGGAGCATGCATCAAGGCCATAAATGGCAAGCTGTCAGACTCCAAAACCAAGAAAGCCATGCAGAGTTATATATAAGCTATTTCCTTTATTGTTCTTTACCTATAGACAGAAATAGTTCACCTAAAGTAACTTGACCTCTTCCATTCAACCAAACTATCTAAATTCCACTATCTGTTATTCCTCTGCATTGCACTTCCTCCTCTTGGGAATTCGGTTTATATTCCGTCACATAAGGTCATACCAGAACACATTCTAAACTCTGATCAATAGACCAAAAAGCATCCTAAATAACAGTCAAATTATTCCTAGGAAGAGTCACTTCTCTGTTGGATCAGAACAGCTTAGACAACAAAATGCTAAACAAAATTATCTTAGCGCCTCCCTGTAAGGAACCTGTCACCTTGAACATATTATTAATTAACAGGATACTCAGGCTGCTTTCACAAGTAAGGCAAATATATTTATAGAACCCTTGAGTGTTCACTGTCTAGTAACTATGTATAATATTGTATTTCTAAACTCTATTTTGCATTTCTAGTAGTCAATTTCAATTTTGAGATACTGGGGGGTGGGGGGAGGGTGAGATTCTCTGGAAAAAGTCCCTGGAAGCTGTCCTGTATACCTTTCCAGTTTCTTCCTGTGGTTTACTAGCTGGATTGCAGACTGGATGGTGACCTATGGTGAAGCTGACTAAAGTTTTTTCCTCTCAAACAGAATTAATTAGCACTAGTATTCTATTAATTTTACCTTTGGGATTAATACAAGTAAATCAGGGGTGGGTTGCTGCCTGTTTGGTGCGCACGTAGTTTTGTAAATTAACCAAAGCCTGGTAGAAGAGAGATGTTTTTACCAACTTCTCAAATACTGAGAATATTATTTTTATTTTGAATATAAAATGCAGAGAAGAGCAATCAAGATGATTAGGAGGCTGGAGGCTAAAATGTATGATGAACGGATGCAGGAACTGGGCATGGCTTGTCTAGTGTAGAGAAGGATCAAGGGAGACATGATAGCAGTGCTCTAATATTTGAGGGAGTGCCACAGAGAGGAGGGGGTCAAGCTATTTTCCAAAGTACCTAAAAGCCAGACAAGGAATAATGGGAGGAATCTCAACAAGGAGAGATTCAATCTGGCAATAAGGAGAAATATTTTTGACAGAGCAATGAACCAACGAAACAGCTTGCCTTCAGAAGTTGTGGGAGCCTCATCACTGGAAGCTTTCAAGAAAGGACTGTACTGCCATCTGTCATAAATGATGTAGGGTCTCCTGCTTGGGTGGGAGGGGTCGGACTAGATCAAAGGTCACCAATCGGTGGTCCGCAGACCACTGGTGGTCCACGAGAAAATTTTGGTGGTCCACAGGAAACAAATTTTTGGACTTTTTATATTGCACTAAATACTATTTATCTTTTAAAAAATCATATTGGTGGTTTGCGGTATTTAAAATTATGAATTTAGTTGGCGGCCCCCGGACTAGATGACCTAGAAGGTCCTCTCCAACTCTGTTAATCTGTTAATCTGTCATTTGGCATGTATTTATATCTGAGTGTAGTAGAAGATCTTGTTTTCCTCATAAAAAATTGACCTATGGCAAAATAATTTACTCCAAATCCAGTGAACCTTTGAGTCTGATGCTGGACTTAAACCTGAAACTTTTAACTCCTAGTCCAACCCCTTAATGTCTCTCACCATATCAGAAAGTAAACACCAAGGATATCTCCTGGGAGTGGAGAATGGAACAGCCTTATGGAAAACCTCAAGCTGTGTGGAATCTCCCCGGGAAGTTCATTTTGTAGCCTTGGATCATGCAGAAATCTTCAAAAGGGGCCCTCCTGTTGATTTGAGTAACTGGGCATGTTCATAGTGAGAGAGACATTCCTGTCCTAAGTCCTTTGGGGCTTTAAAGATCAGTACCAATTGTGTGATTTCTATACCTTGCATAGGTCATCAGCTTAACTGTTGAATTGTGTATTGTGCAATTGCATTGTACTTTCTGGAAGCTTTTCAAGCACATTGAAATGATGTTACAAGTTGCAATCCAAGTATAATTAAATGTTGCTAAGTCTGGATTACTGAGGAAGGGTCACAATAAACTCAGTAGCCATAATTGGGAGAACATTTTCATCATGCCTGAAAATCTAGTGATAGTGATAGATCAAAAAATATTTTTAATTGTGAAACTGTTCCTTCTGGAGGATGGGGATGGATCTCTTTATCTGCATATTATGTTCCAGTGTATAATTAGGGAAATTGTGGATAATGAGCTTGTGAGTCAGTGAATGGGGTGGAGGTAGGGGTAGGGGTGGGGGTTAGGGTTTGCAGAAATTTTGAAAATAATCCCCAAATAACTTTCTCCAAATAACCAAAAATAGTAAAAATATAAGAAATAAGGGTACAGTATTTCCCACCTCAGATTTAACACTTTTATACTGTATATTTCTTAGTTTATTTTCATTGTGGAAGAAACAACATGCAGGGACACAATAACATAAAAGACCAGAATACTACTAATTTCTCGGATGGCTAGGAAATATTAGGGTGGAATCTGGATATGAATTGTGCATATGAAAAACGGGGGGATAGAACTGAACTTTGTTCCAAAATAAGTGAAACTGTTTATATAATGTATAAACAAATTATCCCTTTGCTGTATTTATTACCTGCGACTACATGAGATAACAGCAGATAGCAAGACCACAGGTAACATAGTCTGTTGTCATGATCATACCCAAACCAACAGTATCTAAATTCCAGTATCCACCTTTTTCTTTCCCAGTAGGACTTCTGCTTTGTTTGGGATGAATGTCAATTCTTCTCTCAGCCTATTAAGGCCTATTAAGCTTAGGCGTGTTCAAAGTCACTGATTGTTTCATAGAGTCAGCAGAGTACTAAATGGTACAGCTGAATGTTATCAGCATACTGAAAACACACTCCTCTGGAAATAGATTATAAGTGGTAGGTGTAAATGTTATAAAGAAGACAGGCTAGAACCTTGTGAGGAAATAGATCAATGCCTTGTGGTGTGGTGTGTGTGTGTGTGTGTGTGTGTGTGGCGTCTCAAGCATTAGATTCGAACCATTAACTTTTGTAGGTGCTCTGACTGGAAATCCATTCTCAGTCAGGGAAACTCATGACTGATTTTGGATCAGTCACATTCTCTGACCACAGTGTCTGGGCTTGTTGGGAGGAAAATTGGTGGAAAAAGTAATGTATAAACTATCTGGGAAGGAAGATATAAATTGAAGAATAAAAAGTGCATGAACTCTGTTTTGGCCTTCAACACAGAAAACTAGCAAAATTAGGGAGAGACTCTTTGTATCACAGTACATATGAGGGCAGCCCTTCAAGTAGCAGGAGACACATACAGTATAACATTTTTATGGGAATAGTAAATGATGCCATAATGTAATATGGGCTGAGGCTACAGATTTTTCTGTTTTGGAGAGCCACTTTGGGAAAGACATTTACACTTTTACTTGTTTTCTGATGTCAAATCTCTTTTAATAGGTCTCTTTCAGATTTTTAAAAATTCCCTAACTCACAATGGAAGAAAGTGCATCAGTAGTTTCTCTTGCAGTATTGAACAGAACAACTATCTGTAATTCTTGTCTCATTAAGTAACAGTCTAACTAAAATCATTACTATTTGTTTGAGAAATATATCTAATATGATGAATTATACAACATCAGATGGATAGTGATTAAATAAGCTTCATTGGAAATACTAAGTTAAATATTTCCATACACGTACCTAAAAAAACAGGAAACAAGTGGTTTATAGATCAGATCTGTTAATTTTCAGTTTTTGTAAGCAACATAAATGTGTCAACAGGACATGGTTCAGAACATAAGATTTTCCTGTGAATAATTTTAAAAATCTACATATACTATTAAACTGTGTCTGGTTTTTCACTTCTCTCTTTTACTTTTAATTACTTTTTAAAACCACGCTGGTTTTAAACATGTAATCAGTTTACGTACAGCAAACCAAAAACTATTTTGAGGTTTCATCAGCTGTTAGGGAGAAACTGATGTGGTATTATGAGGACTTGCTTAACATGTTTTGATGCCTAAAGCAAAGACAAGATGACACATTTTTTATTAAGCAGAATTAAACAGTTGCTTTATGAAGCACAACCTGAGAAAGAGGGGAAGTGGGAAGATATAACAGCTCTCTCCTTAATGGGCCACTGAAGGTAACTGTCCTCTCACCAGTTTTGCTTGCATGAAATGTGGAGAGCATCATCAACCACTTCAAAACCACTTGAACCACCACTAGACTCATTCTGTGCATACAAGTTTACTACACTGATGGTTAATCTTACTATAATATTAGGAAGAAAACAGAATCATTCCTGATATCTGAGGTCTTGTCAATCAGAAAGGTCGGCAGTTTGGTAGTTCGAATCCCTAGTACCGCGTAACGGAGTGAGCTCCCATTACTTGTCCCAGCTTCTGCAAACCTAGCAGTTTGAAAGCATGTAAAAATGCAAGTAGAAAAATAGGAACCACCTTTGGTGGAAAGGTAACAGCGTTCCATGCACCTTCAGCATTTAATCATGCCAGCCACATGACCACGTAGATGTCTTCAGACAGCGCTGGCTCTTTGGCTTTGAAACAGAGATGAGCACTGCCCCCTAGAGTCGGGAACGAGTAGCACATATGTGCGAGGGGAACATTTTACCTTTACCTTTTATTAAGAAATGGCCAGCAAACCGCCAGCACTATCTTCCAACATTTATACCTGACATGGTTGTATAATTCAGCCTTATAGCCAGGCTGATTCCAATGCTGATAACTTTTACAATAACTGAATAGATATTTAGCAGACGGTGCAGGGGTTAGAATGCAGTACTGCAGGCTGCATGCAATTTGGCGGATCAAATCTCACCAGGCTCAAGGTTGACTCAGCCTTCCATCCTCCCGAGGTGGTAAAATGAGGACCCAGATTGTGGGGGCAATAGGCTGACTCTGTAAAACCTTAGAGAGGGCTGTAAAAAGCACTGTGAAGCGGTATATAAGTCTAAGTGCTATTGCTATTTGCCAGCATGGTCCAGATATGGTAACATTTTTTCAGGATCCAATCTTGGTCAGTCACTGGGACCAGAGATTTTGTTGTCCAAGCTTTTGGATTCATGCTGGAGCCCATTTTTAGGGAACTTCTCTCTAGAGCTAGAGAGATGGGCCTCAGCATGAGTCCGAAAGCTCAGATGGCAAAATCTGCAACATTATCCTGGGACATCTATATTCACTTTCATTCTGTAAAAATTTATCTTTTTATATAATTTGATAGCTTCAACAATGTATTTAATGATTGTGTTAAATTATAAACTCAGTATAATGTAAACAAATTAACCTTGGTACTATTATTACTTTTGGATGGCTTATTTTAATGATAATTAATAAAAGCATATATCCCAACAATTATAAATAACAATGTTATTTGATAATAACTTATTGCACTAATAATATTGGGTAAGTAAGAATATTAATTATTTATTCTAACCTCTTAAATATGCATTTCAGTGTGTGAATGTTACTGAGGATTATCAGCAGAATATTTATTTGGAAAATAATTAAAGTAAATTACTCTCACTTTCTTAATTTCGGGAGTACAATAGAATGAGTGTCTTTTATAGCAACAAAATTGTTGCCCTCATTAAACAACTGGGAGTCAAAACACTTGATGATCCACTTTTTCTAATTCAGAGAACTGTCAGTAGATCTTCATTTACCTTCAGCACAGTCATTTCTTGGAAAATCTTGTCTGTTGTGGTATTTTACTGAGCTTAATTTGCATAATCATGCATTATAATATTTATATAAAATATTTTTTGTTGAAAAGTAGCAATTATCATTGAATACAAAAGTAGCAATTACCATTGAATACAAATGGGCATGCTATATATTACCTCAAAACGGTTAACGCTTGCATATCACTCTGCTATGCAAGCGTTAACCGTTTTGAGGTACTATATAACATGCCCAGAATCAAAGGCAGTTGCATCTAGGGAATAACTGTGGAAGAAGACCCTTGTCCTCTAGTGCTTGTTCATTAGAACTTGTGAAGTTCTAGAATACAGTATATCTAGTTGGCCATTACTTTACAAAGAATAAGCTTTTGGCCTGATCCATGGGCACTCTTCATACATTCTGAGATATTCTGGACTCTGCTTCAGTGCTTCCAGATGGTTGTGAAGACTTGCCTGGCTGCTGATTTTCCTGTTCCCCTTGAACTGTATCAAAATATTGTCAAGGTCAGCAGTGAGAAGAAAATGTTTCAGTCAGGGATTGCTACCACATAACTGAAACATGCACAAACGTGAACTACTGTACCTAACAAGAAACAATGGGCAGAAATTGTAAGATACGAATTTGGGCATTTTGTACATCAACCCATGTTGTTCCTCATGTTATTAGAGTTTTTCAAGAGCAGTGAAAAAAGACAGGAAAATAGATCTATATGACGTTTTTCTCCTATGCTTTCAGTTTTTGCGCATGGTAGAAGCTTGTTCCAGTTTCCTTAAAGAAGCTTTACACCCAGAAAACTGTGTTGGGATTCTCAGGCTGGCCGATGCTCATTCCCTTGATACATTGAAGCAGCAAGTCGAGAATTATATTGTGCAGAATTTTACACAAGTGGTGAATTACGATGAGGTCTGTGAGTTGCCTGCAGACATTTTGAATAGCATGCTAAAAAGTGATGACCTCTGTGTCACTGAAGAAGCTCAAGTATTTCAGATAGTTATGAAGTGGGTGCGTTACAAAATAGCGGACAGGCTCCCACTCCTCCCATTTATCCTGGAGAGTGTGCGTTTACCTCTTCTGGATCCTTGGTATTTTGTAGACACTGTTGAAGCAGATCCACTCATCAGACAATGTCCTGATGTCTTTCCTCTGCTTCAGGAAGCCAGAATGTATCATCTATCAGGAAATGAGGTGAGTAATAATATTAAAGGAACTACAATACAAAGATTATCTAGATCTTATCTGTGGTAAGAAAGTTGACTGCTAAATGCAACTTTGAACAATTCCATGGATAATGGCTTCATGGCCTTCAACAACCTTTTTAGTTTGAAATCAGAGATATATTTATATATTCAGAAGCTCACATAGCTCCTGGAACACAAAAATATTTTTGTGTAAACTTTTATAGACACACAATTTTATATTTCCCCTTAAAATTGTGCAACTGCCGACAGTAATCTGTTATTAAATTGTCGTAGGATTTTTTTGTTATTATTTGCAATTCTACCTGAAAAATCTGTTATTAATTATATTTATGAATTAATTCCTTATCACCTCTTTGATGAATGATGTGTGTAAAGCCTAGAATAATAGTGCCAGTCTGAGGGCTCCGAACATCCTCAAAAATTGCTACTGAGTTATATTCATTATACATCATAAAAGGGAAATTGTAAGTAAATTAACCCCACCCAGTTCTGCCACATTTGACTTCAGGACCAAATGTCACTTCTAGTCCCTACAAACATGTGCATCCATGACCTAATTACACATTTGTAGATGGAGAAAGTGATTGTTGGTTGCTAGATTTTAACAACAACAACAACAATAGTTACTTTTGTTTTCATTTAGATGATTTCAGGAAGAACAAAGCCCAGAATGCATGAATTCCAGTCCGAGGTTTTTATGATCATAGGTGGTTGCACAAAGGATGAAAAATTTGTATCAGAAGTAACTTGCCTTGATCCTTTGAGACGCAGTCGTTTGGAAGTGGCAAAACTGCCAAACACAGAACAAGAATTAGAAAGTGAGAATAAAAAGTGGGTGGAATTTGCTTGTATTACACTAGGAAATGAAGTCTACATATCAGGTAAGGAATGAAATAATTCGTTCTCTGTCCTCGTCCCCTGCCTTTTTTTCTGAAAAGAAGAGTAATAGAGCTAAATAGTGAACTAGCAAGTAAGCAAGCAAACAGATGCAAGGTGAACTCTCTGAATCACTTCCCCAGGATAGAATCTCTAGGGAAGCCATCCGTGATTCCAAAGCAGTGTTTCTCAACCTTGGCAACTTGAAGATGTCCGGACTTCAACTCCCAGAATTCCCCAGCCAGCATTCGCTGGCTGGGGAATTCTGGGAGTTGAAGTCCTGGACATCTTCAAGTTGCCAAGGTTGAGAAACACTGCTTTGGAATCACGGATGGCTTCCCTAGAGATTCTATCCTGGGGAAGTGATTCAGAGAGTTCACCTTGCATCTGTTTGCTTGCTTACTTGCTA